TATAAACCAAAATTTATGTGACTGTTGATTGTATTTAACAATGTCACGTTCAATGTAAATTAATAAGTTGAAGGTTTGTTTCATTGTGTCTTTTTAATTATTTAATTTAAACATTAAATACTTGTTTAGAATTTTTGGTAAATTCTTTAGATTTTTTTCAATTAATAATAATGCCAATTATTACATTATTCCCCCGACAGAAAAAAAATTGAACTACTTGTTCAATTCTTTTTAAAACCCTTAATGTAAATAATTTACAAAAATTTTTAAAACAATCTACAATAATATGATAACCTCACGCTTGCTTCACTGCACAAGTTGTATCTTCTTTGGTCTTCTTAATTGGCTGACCGTAACTACCCTTTCCTCTCTGGCTGTCACCTCTCATCATCCCCTGATCCTTGACCTTCCTGGAATGGTCCCTTCCCGATCTGGTTTGGTCCTTGGGCTGCTAAACCTGGTAACCCTTTTGGCTGAGGTAACGGGTTCTTTCTGCTACGGTAGTCTATCAATTTTTCAATAGACTTTGGCTTTGGACTCTCTGGTTGACTATTTGCTCGGGACTGCTTCTCTCTTTTGTTACTCTGAGACTGGTAGTGTACATGGCTGCTGTACACGGCTGCTACTGGTGGTCCCTATTGACTCATTACTGGGAATGGCCTCTTTCATTGAACCTTAGTCCATTCCATATGAATTATTTGGTCCCTTTTTTCCGCATTTGACTCCATGTTCTTCCTGCTGTGGATTTGGCTCCCACAGACTCAAAATGGACCCAACATCATGTCAAGCTCCATTGGCGGTATAACTCATGCCCTCTGAGAGCTTGGTGGTACTGGTTGGCGGATTTGGATGGAACAGTCTCTTTGTAGCCTTGGATTCTGGAGTCCTGGAATTCGGCCAATTCTCTGCCGTGGATCGTGGAATCGTGGAACTCTGGGTTCCCTTGGTACGGTCCTGGATTTTGATAACTATCACGATTTGGACTTCGTGATCGTCCTGGAAACGGTGCTGATGGTGACTCTGGCAAAGGTAGTACGGTGTTGACCTCTTCTTCTTTCTTCTTTTCCTTCTTCTTTTTTCTTTTTTTTTTCTTCTTCTTGTGCAGTGGCAACGTCTTTTGATTATCCTATGACAAAAATATTATTTACATTTCAGGTTTTCCAACAAAAAAAACAAATCTTTTATACAAATTTCCTAATTATCCCAAAAGCACATTTACAGTTACGAAAACAAATATGTTTTATAATATACCAAAATTATTTTTTAATAATGAACTAGAAAACGTTATTTATTTTTAAATCTCTATCTCGCAATTATTTATGTTTACTATGAATATTGAATTTCAAAACATTGTAACTAGAATATATTTTTTTTGAGTAGGTAGCATTTTCTAATTCTCTGAGACTTACAAATTTATGCAGTTCTTATTTTATATTAAATTTCAAAATTAATCCCACTAAGATTTTATAAATTTGTATTTCTCCCCATTTTTGTTTTCGAAACGAATCAACAATCAAAGCTAGTATGTTTTATTACAGAAACAATACTATTATTTATTTCCTGGCCATTAAAAATAAACAACATATATCTCTAAGAATAAAACATACATATGTTAAATGCACATAAGCGTAGATTAAATAGTTGTCTACACCTAATAAAACCCAATAAAATACCTTTCTAAAATAATTCTTATGTCATTAATTCTACTAATTCCAATAAAATACCATTTTAAAATAATTTTTACTTTACTTTACCTATTTACTTCATATATATTTTTACCACCTGTTGATATATATGTTTTCTTTTCTTCTTACTCTTCTCTCGATTTCGCTTGAAATTCTGCATCTCCATACTTTGAAACTTTCCTGTTTCTATCGCGATTTTCTCATCTGGTGGCGCGTCGTGGCGCCTGGCATAGCGGCGTAGCTCTCTGGTAGAGCGGCGTTCTCCTAATTACTTGGCGTTGCTCCCTGGTAGAGCGGCATTCTCCTATAAAATTGGCGTTGCTGCCTTGCAAAGCGGCGTTGCTCCCTGGCAAAGCGGCGTTGCTCCCTGGCAAAGCGGCGTTGCTTCCTGGCAAATCGGCGTTGCTTCCTGGCAAAGTGGCGTTGCTTCCTGGCAAAGTGGCGTTGCTTCCTGGCAAAGCGGCGTTGCTTCCTGGCAAAGCGGCGTTGCTTCTTGGTAGAGCGGAATGGCTCCTAAAATCGGCGTTGCTCCCTGACAGAGAGGCTTCTTCTAATATACGGCGTTGCTCCCTGATAGAGAGGCTTCTTCTAATATACGGCGTTGCTCCCTGATAGAGAGGCTTCTTCTAATATACGGCATTGCTCCCTGATAGAGCGGTCTGAATCCTATTTTTCCCTCGTGTACATCTTGTCCTGGTATCAAAGGGCGTTGTTTAGGGCTGGTCGGAAACTACGTCGATCCATGTGACCCCAAACTCCCTCCAATCTATTTACCTGAATTTTTCACCATCACAGTCTAGGGAAAAGGTCCTTAGAGCTTATCCCTTTACACCGTGACGTGACAACCTCTCCTCTAGTTTTTGTCCTGTCGTGGACACTGCTTGGGGGTTGATCGGAATTGTACCTCGATCGAATGTCCCCAAACTTTTTTCTTTTCTTCCTATTTTTCGAATTCCTCGTCGAATATCTATAACACAATATTCACATATTACTACATATTCACTTTACATATCAATTTTTGCTCTGCCTCTTTTGGGCAGTCCAAACCTCTTTAAATCATCCTAAGATGTGCTTATTCGCACATCTCGCACTTGTACGCCTTTTCTTCTTTTTCGTGCGTATACAACACGTCCTCTTCCTCCTCAAACTCTATTGCTGATGGCCTGGTAAACATCTTTAATCTAAAACACTGTATATCTATATTATTATTTTTTAATTCACAAAATTTAAACCTTAAAATCCCATATACTTCTGAAAAAAAAATTATTTAAAATGCCAATTTTTCATTAACGCTGTACGTCGCTGAACTAACTTTACCTATATTACTGACCTACCACAACTGATAGCAATGCACTTTGAAATAAATACTTTGCGAAAATGTAATATCATATTTATAGTTCATTATAGTTCAATGTCGATTTTTTTGTAAATAGTGACAATATTTACCTTTAAATTCTTTATCATCTAAACTAGATATACTTATACATCATCAACCTATTTAAATATTTTCCCTTCGCAATTCTTATTTAACATCATAGTTATTTTAAAATAAATTAAAATTCTCCTTTTGAATAATTTTCTCTTTATTGAAATGATGACTTTTTGTACACAAAGAAATATAATATTATAAATAAAATTGTATACTATTTTCGACTTGACCCTAATGTTTATTGTTACAATTATTTTCAATGTCAATGTTTTGTTTAAACAACTACTTAGTTAAAACATTATATTAAATTATCATCTATTTATCTTTGTTTTTTATCAATTCAGGTTCGCTAATTTATTTAATAAAATGAAATTTGCATTTATCACTTGATTTCTGTATCTACTCAATTTAGTTTATTAAAAGGCACTTGTCCTCTCCAAAAAAATTACAAAATTTAAAAAAAATGTCTGTAAAAAAATTGATATATCTCCTTATCCTTATCTTTAATAACAAATTTTCCCTTTTCCTTCCAACCAGTCAAATACTATCAAAAAACACCGCTTGTCACCAAATGTAACAACCGGTTAATCCTAAAGACCAACGCTCGTCACCAAATGTAACAACCGGTTTGCCTAAGGACCATTTGTAACTACTGATAGGTCTTTAGCTACTGTTACTATACTATTAAGGGATAAAGGCAGCGCCTGTCACCAGCCAAAGGGTCCTGGAGTCCTTAAGGAACATCCATTCGCCAGTGGCAAAATAAAATAATAAAAGAAAATAATAAAATTACAAAAAAAACATCCCTTAATAGCATATGTCGAGCGGTTCTTGGCAACTAGTTTTAGACTCTTTTAGTCCTAAGGGAATAGAAACGCCGAGGCTTCTCAAATGCTCGGAGTATTTTGCTGGTTTGGGAAAGGAGGAGAGATTAATAATAAGTATTAAAACATTAACAAATGTATATTAACAATAAATAAAAAACTTGACAAATAGTCTTCAGGAAAAATGAATAAAATTCCATTTAGAGAATAATGCACTATAACTAATAGTAATAAAGATAAGCATAAAATATAATTCGGGACGAAAATGTAAAATTGGCATTTATATGTAAATCAATTAATCAATTATTATTAAACAAAATTAAGTTAAAATATTTACCCATAATTCACATCGTACACAAAAACTTTGCACATTACTTTACAATAAAAAAACCAGGGTTTCGCCCGAGGGGCGAAAGTTCTGGACCTCAGTCCGAACCCGACTGAGCGTTTTCCCCTAAGTGATCCTTTCTATATAAACCAAAATTTATGTGACTGTTGATTGTATTTAACAATGTCACGTTCAATGTAAATTAATAAGTTGAAGGTTTGTTTCATTGTGTCTTTTTAATTATTTAATTTAAACATTAAATACTTGTTTAGAATTTTTGGTAAATTCTTTAGATTTTTTTCAATTAATAATAATGCCAATTATTACATAAGATAATTTTCTTCTTGTGGCAAGTAGGTAGGTATATCGATATAAAATGAATAAGCAATTATGAGTTGAATATAATTACTTATCACGGAAGAACACCTTACAAATAAGACAATTCTTAGAATATGATTTCTTGTTAAATTGCCTAATTAAAATAAGTAGGTTCCTATTATTAGTTTTTAATTTCCAAAAATAAAAAAAAGAGTAAAACTATAATTACATAATTATAATATCGTATCTAATTGTATTAATTGTCATAAATATCCAATTAAAAGTCCGTGAAACACCAAAACAGTAGTGAAAGTTGTTCCGATACATTAACTAATAAAGTTGAATGAAAAGTATCAAAAAATAAATAGAAGAAGTTACTGGTAGATTAATAAAAGCCTATTTATTCGAAAACTCACCTGCTATCGTAAATCTATCCATATAGTTGATCAGGTTGACGAAACACAATACAACAACAACAACCCACTCGCGAAATTTAACATCCCGCAAAGTCCTCTCGTCACCTTCTCTAACAAGTTCCTGTTGGGAATGATTTTGGGTTGGATCCATTTTAAAAGGTTTTAACACAACTTTCTCTATTTTTTCGGACGGCATGGCCGGTTCGCACTAACTAACCTAATTTCGAGACAGTTTGGTAAGAAATGACGGCTCTCAAGCCGGTTTCGTATGAATTCCATGTTGGCGCGTCCGTTAGAGCTGACAAATGAGCATGCGCGCAAGAATCACCTGATGATTACACGTTTACCGGATTGAGTCCTATGTTATGACGGGACGGCGTTGCCGGTTCACTTCTACAGAAATCAGCACAACTTACGAGATGTGTTGTTACAGCTTACGTATTAAAAGTTGAGAGCAGTCCAGTATTAAGTTTCCTGGGCTATCATCCTGGAAGACAACCTAATCTGAAAAAATGATAAACAAAAACATAAGGTAATGTAAAAAAATTTATCAATAATAATATTAATAATTCTTATTAAAAGTAGAAAGTAGGTAATTTCAATATTCTGGGTTCTCGGGTTCTGATTAATTTAATCACCTGACAAAAATTTTTACAAAACAGATTCAGGGTCGATCATATAGGTAGATTGTGGCCACGCGTCGTCGTCTAAATAATTTATAAACTCATTTATCTCTAAAATTGTTGTTTTATAATGGACATTATAATTAAGAATATCGAAAATTAGTGATTAACTCTAAACCGATAACAAAAATAAACAGACACTTTCAACTAAAACAAATAATACAGCTTCGAGTAGGTAACTCGTCTATGACGACTTAACAATTTATTGGGTTTGATTTGACCACTAGAACAGGAGCCATTGAATTATACTATCAAGGAGCCAGCTCTTTGGTCTGGGTGTCAACAAGAATTGTGTATTTATGAAAAGTGTTCAAGATTAGATAAATAAATTAGATAAAATCCTATAATTTACCTCCATACGAGTCAAACCCTTAAAGAGTTTGCACGCAGAAGGGACGAAAATCATTATTTGTAGCAGTGCTCTGTGCGACTTACAGATGAATGATGATTCCATTTGAATTAAAGAGGAGGACACCATCATCGTCACGATAACTCATGGGGATTGACTCAGAAAAGTAATTGCTAATACGCCACAAATCCTCCAACGAACCATGCAAATTAATGAAAAATTCATTTCATAAGGACTGTTGTTGAATCTGAACTGAAACACAGTAATTGAATATAAGCCGTAGACATTTGGACTACCGAGCCGATCTTATTCGAATTCTACAGAGCTGGGAAGGAATATCCTGACAAATCCATTGTCTTTTAAGGTTTTTCGCTTAGTAATTTACAAATTTTCCGTGATATTTTTGTTTTGTATATAAAGTACGTAACGCCAAAAAAAGCGAATTTTCCAGAAGACGTGATAACCGATTCATTTGAAGTATTCAGTTACTGGCCTTCAGTAGAAACGATGGTGCGAATCCCACATTAGGCCACATTATTTTTTTTATTTGCATAGTGCAATCAAATGACACAAGTCGTGCGTTTAGAACTTTAGGGGTTAACTCGTAAAAAAGTGAATGATATGGACTGTATTAATTATTATACCAAAGAATTTTTGCATAAAACAAAATCCTCAAAATGTATGACTTGATAATAAAAATACCGAGGCAGCGACCAGATTAGCATGTCCTTCAGCAGTGAGTATAGAACTTGGATGGATGGCTACTGAAGTAACGCCATATATAAAAAGTCCAAAACTGTAAGGTTAAACCATCATCAGTCTCGATGTTGGGATGGTTCTGCAATATTTCTGCTACGGGTTATAAAAGTAATTTTAAAAACCGACTTCAAAATCGTGCAGATGCCATCACCACATCTTGACCAAATTTATAGGGGAATACCTCTTACTAACAAAAAAGAATCATAGAAATCGGACAAGGTGGTAAAGAATTACCGCTAAACATACAAAAAAAATAAGAGTTTGACGATTTTCTAATGGACCCAACTGTTAGATTTTGACTAAATTTATTTGGGACCAAACCTGATGTACCCCCTTTCTAGAATCATTGAAATCGGATACCGTGTTAAAGAATTATCTCTGAACATACATAAAAAATAAAAATATTACGACGAATTGAGAACCTCCTCCTTTTTTGAAGTCGGTTAATAAAATTGCCTTTATTTTCCATGGTTAATCCACATTCTTTGTTTTTCAATAAAGTGGCCACCCTGCGTACGATTGATATCAAGCGAGGCCCTGACAACTCATTGTTAGGCTACATATTATTGTTAAGGGGCATGCGGAATTCTAGCTAGAGGACGAGGCCTCCAGTTTATACCTACTGACAAATGCGGTAGTGGGTGTTGACTGTTAACACTTTCTATTCAAAAGTTTTGTATTAGAAGCATTAGACTACATTTCAAAAAACTCACGTTCTCGAGGTTTTTATTATTCTGTCTTAAATTTAGAATTGTATAGATATAATACAGTTTCAAACGTGGTCTGCAATTTATTAAAGGTAATATCTGTACAACTTAATAGTATATTACGTAACAAGAGTTGTAAGTAACCCATTACGCACGAAGTTAAAAAGTTTACACACGAAGTCGCGCAGCGGTGAGTGCGTAAATTTCACGAGTGCGTAATGGGCTTACAACTCGTGTAACGTACTATACTTTTTCTACGCCCACTTAAAACATTCTCAAAAATGGATTTACCGTCATGCTTGTGACGCCAATCCATAAATTTTCGGTAGGTAATCTCGTACCTTTCTTTGGATTTTAGCGGTAAAAAATTATGTGTGGCAGCTTGAGCTTTTTCTAAAATATCCGGTGGAGTACTCATAATTTCATCACTTTCACTGCTAACACACATATTCGTAGGTAAAGTTGAGAAAATGTTCGGATACAATCATATTTTGTTACAAAAATTGACAATATAAATGGCATGATGTTTATTTCCATAGCATGCTAAGAAAACGCGACATATTTTTTGAAATATTGTATAATATGTTGCCGACATTTAGGTTCATCACTCTTTTAATCCAAAATGTACCGTGCTAATGCTGTAATAAGTTTTTATGGTTTCTAAATAACTAAATTTATGTAAATAGACCAAATAAAGTCGTACGTAGACAAAAATTTGATTGCAATTTGATTAAACCAAGAAATTTAAGTTCTTATCAAAACGCACGTGTATGTTATGAGATCTCATTACGTGCATGTTATTGTCAAATGTCATTTACAAGGAATGTTGATAGTGCGATTTGAACGTTTACTGACATGAGCGTAGAAAAAAATCTTTTGTAGTACTATAAGTACTTCATAATAATCGGTTATACATCGATAACTTGTTGCATAATTACAAAGCGGGAGAATTATTCTACTGATAATCACGAATTAATAAAACATGACAGAACAATAGCACTGGCAAAACATAACAAGCTTGTCTACTAGATTCTACAGCATTAATGTATCAAACATTATCAGTTATTAGTCAAGTAGGGTGTATGATTATCGATTATTAATCAACTAAAAGTAAAGGAAATTATTACATTATGAGTGAAATATTATATACTGGGTGGTCCGTTAATAATGGGACCCAAAGTAACTATGAATTCCTTATATAACAATATTGCAATCTAACACAATTTATCTTAGTTGAATTCGTGATATTAAAGAAGATTTGAATAAAATTTGTAGTGTTCGAAATATGTATTGCCATTAAATTATATGAACGAAAATTATTTGTCATAATGGCATAAACTTCAAAACCGCAGCAAAACATGGAAATGCATATTTCGAAAACTAAAAATTTTATGGAATGATTTTCTAATATTAAAAACTGTTATTATTTCTAACACATCTGCAGCATTTAATATTTTTGATTGAAATATTTGACGCAAAAAGTAACAGACACTTTTATTAAGTATCTTTTTTAATATCAAGAATTGAACTAAAGTAAATTGTGTTATATCGCAATATTTTTTTGCAAGGAATTTATAGTTGCTGTGTCCCATTATTCGGTTAGGTTGAAAATGAGTGGATGATCTCATCGTCATTATTAACGGACCACCCTGTAATAATACAACGAGTGGTATTGGGACTATAAGCTAATGCACGAAACGTGTTGACAATATAATACAATTCAAATCACAGCAGATTTTGCAAGCATATACTACAATAATACCTAAAATGTTCTTTTAAAATGGATGAAGTTATTTATAAGTAGTTTATCGTTTGAAAATGTTAATGAGAACCTAATTTTATTCATATAAATAATAAATAATACTGTGTAACTTTATATCATACGGCTGACCGGAAAGAAACGCTGATAGAAAGAAATAATCATGCTACACTTAACTATTTAAAAATTGCATTGAAAAACAATGCGACCCCAATTCAAACAAAAAGATTTAAGGCTTCGTCAGTAGTAGTTTCAGGACATATTTTCTAATTAAGTGACCTGATGATGGTGACGTGGTTAGCGAAACGTGCGTTTATCTAGTTTTAATGCAGCAGTACAGCTCAATCCCATGAACTAGGTACATAAATAAAAAATCAAAGTTACTTAATAGTCTGAAGGCTCTCAATTTTGTTTGAAAAGGCTTCGAAGCAGTTTTTCCAACTTTATTAATATTTTTTTAAATCTTGCAACACTGGAATGATGAATGATGTGAATCTGACAGCTAAGTTGCACCAAACCAACACAGTCACAGACACAAACAATAAACTTACAAAAAAATAAAAACAAGCTTTTAAAATAGTATGGCCTTAGGTTATAATATTTGGGAACTTACCGATGGTAACTTACCTTTCACTTGTTTCTATTCTTTTTCGTCAACAATTTAAAACAATGATATGGTGAACTACAAGTAGAAACACATCTGGTGAAAAATTAAACTGAATAATAAGAATAATAAGAATTCCACATTTGGTAATTGCTGACGTAGAGGTTAGGTTGCATATTTTCGGTTGTGGCTACCATCACATCAACGTGAATAAAAGTGAAAGATTTGAATAAAAGTTTTTTCTTTTTGTTTATGGCAGGAGCAGAAGTTGGAAAGGCATTTGGTAGGTAGAGAGGGGATAAACGTCAAACCACGTCGGACGGCTTCGAGAATTTCGCGGTTATGTTCATCTGCTAGTGTCGTTTCATAGAATAAGTACTTTTAAATTGTTACCGACGGAACCGGACAATCCCATGTATTTAAGGACTAGAAATAATTATTAAACAAGTATTATAATATCCCGAATCATAATTCTACAAAATTTCAACAGCTATTTACTTTAGTTTATTCACCTGAAATTGTTATAGGTATTAACATCTATAAAATAATTTTATAGGCCAATGTATCGTGTTCACTTCGGTTACCTCCGACGCAAAAGTGTCAATTTCTGTGTGTGAAGTGGGAGAACTGTGAAAAACTTTTCCAACTTCTGTCGCTGCTATAGATATTAAATTTAGAAAAATATTTACAATTATATGTTTTAAGTTTTAATTAATCAAAGATAAGCTCTAAGATTAATAATATATTAAGTATTGCATTAACGTTATCTTATCTTAATTTTTCTGGAAAATATTTATTTACTTGTTAAATAAATAAAACCGTATCTGGCAGAGTAATCACAATATTCTCAATCTTTATTTTTATGTACCTTGTGCCATCTACTAACGAATAGACCAACTTATCTTATTCAATAATAGAATTCCTATAGTTGCAACGTTGCCAATATTTTCTTAAAATACAGCATTTAAATATTTTAATTTCTCTTGCTTTGATGAGAGTTCATTTATTAGGCCAGTCAATAATGCCATCTTATTTTGTAATAATAATCGGCTAGTTTAAATAATAGTAAGTTTAAACATTCCAACCATTTCCAAGGTCAGAAACTAGTTAATTTATAGTAAATTGGCTCTTTTATTTATAATTTTGAGAAACAAATTGCTAGAGTGCTGCAAACTTGAAGCAATATTTGTGGTACCTATTCTTTTTTATCATTTAGATTTGCAACTTTTTGAAAGTCTGCAACATGATTTTTTTTTAAAATATCATAGATAAAAAAAACAGCAAAAGTGCGCAAACCGATGACATAACTCATAGTAGTTTTTGGAAGAGCTATTTCGATTTGAATCTTTTATTATGCACAGAAATATTTTTTAAATGGCAAAATAATTGTATATTTTCCTCTAATTTTGTCAAAAAAATGCAAAAGTTTTGATAATTGGTTGCAAATGTTAATATTATTTTTCTTAACAATCTGGTAAATTTACAACCCTGGACAAGGTCTGGAACCTTGAAAAATGAACAAAAATCAACAATTTGCACTTTTTGCAGCGTCAATTTTTTTTTGAAAAATATTAAAAATTTTACAGAGCAATTTAATTACAAGGTGGCGCAAAATCAAGTATCCTATGGAATGTTGTCATGGTTTCGTTTGTAGTTCGAGTTTTTCTGTCAGTTGCAAAGTAGATACTTGGGAAATTCATTATGAATCGATATTCGCCTCGAGAACGTGCCGAAATCGTAAAATTTTTTTATCAAAATAATTCGTCGAATATCAGAATTTTTCCTGGACGCCTTTTCTCGAAAAACGCCGATATTGCATATCCGCCAAGGTCTCCCGATTTAACTGTTTCAGACTTTTGGTTATAGGGTTATCTCAAAGATAGGGTATTTGTAAATAATCTTCGAACACTAGAAGCATTAAAAGACAACATCCGGGAAGAAATTGACAGAATACCACCTGAAATGTTGGAGAAAGTTATGAAAAATGCTTTAAAAAGAGCTCATTATTGTATTAATGCTGTGGGTAACCATTTGGTCGATATTGTTTTTAGTGTGTAACAAAACAAATTTTTAGAGTTTAAATAAATATTTTTCATTTATAATATGACTGTTTTTTAATTAAGCTTACTTTTATATAAAAAACAAATAGGGGACTTTATTTTGCGTTACCTTGTACCTTCCTATAAGTAAATGTAAATTTGCAACGCTCCAAGAATAACGCAACTTATTGTAAATTGTCTATGACCAATTTTGGCTCACACGGTATAATTTTAAAGTACCTACGTGATAAAAAACAATCAATATCGTAAATCGAGCCGAGACTAAGAATTTAAACCAATACCGTCGTAAATAGACCATTTAGATGATAAGGATTTGTTTTGGTTCAAACTGGACCGTCGATTAAAGTTTTGAAATTAACGAATTTATTTTTCAAGAACACGTCGCTACGTTATAACTGCGAATTGAACTGAACGAGTTTAATTCATTGATTCGTGAAGAAAACCAAAATACCTGGGTGGATTTGAGCGAAATATGAAAAACAAAAGATCAAATTAGTCATTAGAAAAGCATCCCATGTACAAGTTGTTCAGGAAGCTGTTTATCACGGATAATTGTTATAATATTGTTTGTTTTATTTTCGAAAAAGAGTTGAAAAATGAACCTATGATAAAGTTAAATAAAAAGGAATCACTTCTTTAGTTAAAAGTAGTGAAAAAAGATATGATGGGAAAGCTGCTTTTGTTGTCGGGTTGAAAAGTGGCAAAGTGAATCAAAGATGTAGAAAGTCGTACACCAATGTTAAAAGTAACATAATTGTGGGTCATTTAATAATTTTCTGTTATTTACACTCGGACTTATAACTGAAACCTAAAATTTGATAAACGAAAAGATAAAACTATACCTACAAGACGCTTTAGCTTTTTCTATTTCATTATTATTTACAGAAAAATTTCCATAATTTTTAATACCATAAAAATCTAATAACAAACCGTATGCAATCAAAGTAGTTAATGTGATAAATACCAACCATTTTTTATATTGTTGCTGAAGCAATTATCATAGAAGAGAGAATGAATGTTTAAAAATGATTGCCAAGTGATCCCATTAATAAATGATTTCCTATTTTTCCCATTTATTTGTATTTAAAATTACAAAATTTAAATTTTGCAAATGTCCTTCCAATATTAATTTTGTTACAGTGTTACTGTTTAAACCAATATGCAACCCACCGTCATTATTTTCTCAATAAATAGCTATAGATCTTGTACAAAGAAAAAAAAATTAAATTAATGGGGTTTATATATTTATGTCTTTATGTTTTGATCCGAGCTTTTTTTAATATCAGGAACAAGTATATATACATAGATGTCTAAAGTCAATCGTATTTTTGACATATAAAACAAAATTTATCAATAAACGTAGGACAGCCAAATATCAGATCTAAATACTTTTTTTTACCAATATATTTCTGAAAACCGATAACTGCAAATCATAAAAAACTTTTTTTAAATTTTCTGTACGTTTATATACGGGATGTTTGAAAAAAGGTGGCTTGGCTGCTAGGATATGTAGAACGCTGCAAAATAAGTTGGGTTCGTTCAGTAAAAAAATTTCGTAACGGCATCCGTTTTCAAGATACAGGGCATTGAAAGAAAAATTATACACATTTTTACGATTATGTCGAAACTATATAGCATTCGAAATTTTTTGGACTGTTGCAGGACCTATTTAAAAATGTATGTAGGTAGGTATTTTGCGTTTTGGTTATTTGTTAGAAATCCCATTTTCAAGGTCATGCATGAAATCCTTAAAATAATAATGAATACTATTTAATATCTACCCCACATGCATCTTTGTATTGTAATTTTTTTTTAAGTTTTTATGTATAAAGATTTTTAAAGATAAAATTAAATTAAATCGCCATGGTTTTCTCCGTAAAGCAGTACACAGGAAATTATTTAAATAATTGGATGATAGGTATGAGATTACAAATTCGATATTACTTGTCAATGACTTTTTTAGTTATTTTCTTGGATTTGCAACACTTTCGTTTTAATTTCGCAATTCAAAATTGACCATATACAATTAACAATCTTTGCACTAATCTTGGAGCGTTACAAAGTTGCATTTACGTATAGAAAGGTTTTTAAATCGTTCTGTAAAATTTGCAATAGTTTTCTTTTATTGCGATTGCCAAAACTGCGAATTGTTGATTTTTGTTAATTTTCCGGACCTCCTCCGAGATTGCAAATTTACCAGATTGTTAAGTAAAATACTATTAACATTTGCAACCAATTTTCAAAACTTTAGCTTTTATTTAACAAAATTAGAGGAAAATAATGTTTTTTGCTATTTTTAAAAAATATATTTCGGTGCAAAATAAAAGGTTGCAAATTGGAATAAATGCTCCAAAAACTTGAGTTATGTCATCGGTTTACAGCACTTTTGCAATTTTTTAATCTATGATATAAACAAAAGCGATGTTTTACGAAAAAAATCATGTTGCGTCAAGTTGCAAATCTGATATAATGTTGAAGATTATACAATATATTGCTTCAAGTTTATAGCACAAGTTGCAAAATTAAATTTATATTTAATTCAATTTAATAATATTTCCAACAAAATTTGAAAATTTTTGTATAATGTGAATTGATTATCTATAATGACTGGCGTATATTATGTTTTTCTTGCTTTCAGATGGAAATCAGGGAATTTCAATAATCAGGGAATTTCAATAATCGGGGAATTTCAATAATAATCAGTAGTGCCCGAAAAGGTAGTAAATAAAACAAAACATGATACCAGTTAGATATAATTTGTGTTAGAAACATTATTACATTTTTCTGAAATATAAAGAAAAAACAAATACAAAAATATTTCCTAGAAGTACCGAAAATCATTGGGTAAAAGGTAGGTAGGTACTATTATAAACACTTGACGTCGTGCACCATATAGCATTATATAATAAATATTAGAGAGATACTGGGTGATCAAAAAAAAAGACAAATTAAATTTCAAAAGAATACCTTTTTTAGAGTTATTGAAATTTGAATATTTCAATTATTTATATCTCCTATTATTTTTTTATCGCCCAGTATATTTATAGTTTTAACCGACTATTAGCACAGATATATAAACATTTTCTTGGAATATCAACTATATAAGTATTTTTAACAACAGTACAGATAATCGTAAATATTTTTAAGGGCATTCTCAAAAATAATACAGTGCAGTCTCCTTATACGGAACCTACTCATATGAAACATTTTGGTTACTATTAAAAGAGATATTCAGGGTTATGTAAACCTCCAGCAATTCGAGGATGTAGCTTCTGTTAGATAGACAGTTCATCCTTAATGACGTTGCCCTGAAAGCATATTTTTTCATTAATAGGATGAAGACGGTAGTATGTTTTAAACACAGATTCAAATTTAATTCAATTTATTGCAAGTAATATGAATTTATTTATTTGTACAAAATTTTTCATCTTACATCAATTAAAACCACGCTATGCCTCTAGGCAATATTTATTACTTTCTGATGAGTCCTAATAAGGACCAAACTGGTTCAAGAATTACGTTCTCAGTAAGGAAAAATTTGGAGTGTTGAAAAAAATTCTACTGGTTTTCTTGGAATATAATTCAATGACTTTTGCGGTATTCGCCAAAGGAGTAATTATTTTACGAAGGGAAACGGTCGCTCGTATTACGAGGGTCCTTCAATAAGTAAAGAGACAAATGGCTATAACTCAAAACCGGTTTATTTCAATCTTTCAAAATTAGGGCTATTTTTCAACATAATCACCCCCCACAGTTATGCACTTGTCCCATCTTTCTTGCAGCTTCCTAATTCCCTTGGCGAAGAATTCTTTCGATTTACCCCGAAGCCACTTTTGCACAGCTTCCTTAACTTCCTCATTGTTAGCAAATCTTTTTCCACGTAGGGCGCCTTTGAGTGGCCCAAACAGGTAAACATCAGATGGGGCGAGGTCGGGACTGTAGGCAGGATGAGGTAAGACGTCCCAACCCAAATCTTGAAGCTTATCACGGGTCAGCTGGGCTGTATGAGGGCGGGCATTATTGTGCTGAAGAATGACTCCTTTTGACAAGAGTCCACGGCGTTTGTTTCTGATAGCTAACTTTGGGTTCTAGCATCTCAGAGTAGTACTGGCTATTGATAGTTCGCTGATCTTCAAGGAAATTGCAATAGACTGGACCCTGTGAGTCCCAAAAGATGGTCAGCATCACTTTACCGGCGGAAGGTTGAACCTTGAATTTTTTGCGAACTGGAGAGCTAGTGTGTTTCCACTCCATACTCTGCCTTTTGGTCTCAGGGTCGTAGTGATGGATCCAGATCTCGTCGCTGGTCACTAATCTTTCAAAAAAAGCGTCTCCTTCAATCAAACTTCGTTGCTTTAAGTCTTGACTAATGGAAAGCTGTCTGGGAACCCATCTGGTATACGTTTTTCTGTACTTTAAATTGTTCTGAATGACATTGTGAACAGTTCCAACACTTACGTGAACTTCCTCAGCTATCATTTCAACAGTAATTCTTCTGTTATCACGAATAAGTCCGTCAATTCAACGAGAGACCAGAAACTTCCACTGGACGTCCACATCGGGGTTCATCACCTACACTTGTTCGGCCACTTTTAAACCGATCAACCCACTTGTAAAAATTCGCACGGTTCATACAACTTTTACCGTACTGTATTAACATTCTAGAAAAAATTTCACTTAGTTTTACACCTTCTGCGACTAAAAATATAATGACTTAGCGCTGCTCTTCTAAGGTGCAATCTTCTAGTGGACTTGCCATGGTGAATTGAAAATTTTGAGGTTATGTTGACATAAAATGATGAAACAGCTGATCAGAGCATATCCCAAGGTTGCCAACTAACACCCCTGAGATTGCACACATTCATTGAATAGTTTTAAAATTATAGAATTTGTCTTTTTACTTATTGAATGACCCTCGTATTTTGTGATACATGGAGAAATTTTGGTTTTCATTTATTTTATATCTTGGTCACATTTGAGTTTGGAATTATTTTCCTTTTTGCAAGAAAGTTGATTTGGTGTTGATGATGTGGTACCAGGGGGATAGAAGACCATAATATAGCCCGAAATAATGGTTAAATCTTTATCTATATCGTTAAAGAGGCACACTAAAATATGCCAAAATCTCACCAATTTCTACTTATTGGTAGGCAATAAGAACGACTGGTTACTGGTCGCCTTACATTGGATTATGGTCATAAAGTATACATAAAATAGCTACGAGGCCTAGACGTCTGTTATTTATCCCCACTTTTGTACTTCTAACATTACTAAATCTTCTTCTACCAATGTTAGATACGATTTTTATAGATATTTTTTTTCCTTTTACTATCTCGTTCCTTCTTCTAACTCTGTTTTAGCAGCTCTTCCGTAACCACCTTAATATTTATGTTATATATTTTGTCGTTATTTGTATGTATCCATATAAGCGGATAATTTTTTATTCGTTTTAATCCACAAATCATCTTCTTTCCTCAGACCTTCATAAGATATTCTCTTCAATATTATTGATTCTAGCTTCACCTTACTTGTTTTATTTGACACACATACGATTCTGATATTTTCTTATTTTTTTGCTCTTTTAACACATTTATTGTGTAGTAATTTCATTATTGAATGTTCCTTATAACATTTGGAGCAGTTTTGGAAATACTACTCAGAATATTTTAGACATTATTCCAGCGAAGTTGATATAAAACATGTTTATTTATTAAGTAACATGAAAACAGATGACATAAAAAACATTACTCCTTCAACACTTCATTAGAGGTTTTAATACCAAATAGAACGGAGATCAATAAATAAACTCAGTGCCCAACGACAGGAACAAACCTGGTACAAAGACTGCGGAAGGCACTGGGACTGGAGTATTCTCAAAAAACCCTAACACCAGCCTTAGCTGTGTAATAGGAAGACCTGCTTCAGTATTTCAGGCTGAGGTGTATGCAATCTTGCAATAGGCTAGAACTTTTTATGATCCGAGGCTAGAACAAACAATAGGAGAGCTATCGAAAATAAGCCGATCCAAATAATATCAGACAGCCAGGCGGTCCTTAAAGTCATATCGAGTCAGAAAGTTACAACGAGAATTGAGAACATTGGCAGACCGAAATAGAGTAAAAATAGTTTGGGTGCCAGGTCATCAAGGGATTGAGAGCAAGGGTCATAAAATATCTCACAATGGCAAATATTCTCCACCTCCATAAAGCATTCTACCAATTACATAACAAGATTGATCAAGATAAGTTTTTAATTAAATTTTGTTCGGTCTACAAACATAAACGACCTAATCCAAATCTGAATGAATCAAGGAAAACCCTGACATTTAAATGCTTCACTAGAAAGAAAAATGATGGTGTAATGATATCGGTATGTAGACAGGCCTTCTTAAAAGTACTTGGAATTAAAAGAGATAGGGCGCAAGGAGCACTAGCGCGACATTTTGACGCAGATGGAGAGACTGCAAAAGAAAACAGAGGCGGTGATCATAAAAGTCACAAGAATACCGAGCGTAATCCTTTAAATGTAGCGAAACACATTATTGTAGAAGAAAAACAGTTTCGCGTGTCTATCTGCCTGCGGAGTTAAACATTAAAAAAATGTTTAGAATGTACAATTAATATGTTGATGATGCTGCGCTCAAAGTAAAGGAATGCTTTTTTATAAACATATTCAATACATGCTAAAATATCGGTTTTGGTAGCCCTAGAACCGATGTGTGTTTAAAATGTTTAGAATTTTCCGAAAGATATAAGAAAGAAGATAACGAGGAAGAAAAGCAAAAAATAATGACAGAGAAGAAGATACACAACCTTAAGGCTGCAGTATTTTTTGAAATTTTAAGGACAAAGGAGGAAGGAACACTGACAATGTCTTTTGACTGCCAGAAAAATAAGGCAGTACCTAAGATGCCTGACTCCAGTGCATATTTTTCATCACAGCCTAATTTTTATAACTTTGCTACTGTAGTAGGAACAGATAAATTGCAGAAACAAAACGTTCATTGTTACTACTGGAACGAATCGCAGCTTTCAAAAGGGAGTAATGAAATTACTGGTGCTATTTACCACAGGTTGTACAATACAGATATAGAAAACTTTTCTACCCTCCGACTCATTGCTGATGGCTTTGGTGGTCAAAATAAAAACAACACACTCATCACAATGCTAATGAAATGGTTTTTCTCGATTAACAAGCATATTCAATCTGTAAAAATAATTTTTCCCATAGTGGGACATTCTTTCATACCTCCCGATAGAGTTTTTGCCCAGATTGAAACTTAGCAGACCCTCAGACTGTTAGTTACTGTATACGACTGTCGCGAAGAATCCAAAAAGTATCTGAAACCACCTGGATCTTGACATTTCCAGTTTAATCCTTCAGAAAGATTTTTAATGAAGAAGACCAAAAATGGTGTCAGTGTCCAAGATAAAGTTAATTATAAAAGTGAGTGTGGTATTCCGCAGTCTGTCAACAAAAAAGGGAGTGGTACTCTTAACTCTATCAAACCCTCAATAGTAACTGTGAGTAAACAAATTAATGACAAAAAGTTAAAGAAGCACTACGGAACGGCTAAACCTTGGAAAGATCTGGAACAACTCAACTTCTACAAAAATTTAATTCAAAACTTTGATGAGAATAATCTCGAAGAACCAATTCCAAAAGATGATTTGCCATGTGAATATGCTGAAGAAATCTATTTAGCTGTTTAAAAAATTAATGTTAAAGCACTGTTCTATGTTTTTATTCAATAAATATTATCTTTTAGATGACATATCTGCTCGAATTTTATTTCCAAACACAAAGTTGAAATCCAAACCAGCTATGTGAAATTTTTGCTCACTGCTTACTCATTTACCGTACTTATTGCATATCTATTAGTAAAAAAGTCAAAAATTATTCCTAACAATTTGACGCCACAGTTTTTGCGATTCCTGAAAAGTTATCCGAAACGCGAATAGCCGGTTTTGATTCTAGACGACTCAAATGTTCCATAACGATCCATGTGATAATTTGTAAAATTATTTAAAAGTTCGTCACAATTAACACATTTTGATCCAAGTAATGTTTTCTTATTAAGTGTAGTTATTACCATGATGCTATAAAAAAGGGTACGATATTACGCAGATTGATTCTACGTCACGGTAACGTATAGTGGTGCGGAAGCGTGACTTTTACGAATTTGCTTGATTGTAAAAAAATTGCTCGGAGGTAAAAAATGGATTGTAACATTGACAGTCTATAAAAAAAAACTTACAAAAAACATGACGTGAAGACATGTAGCTTTACAGATAATAAAATGTTTTTAGACATGTAACAATATTCCTCTAAACAAATTAACTTCAGTTTAAGCACTTTTCAAAGAATGAAGTATGACAAAAAAAAAGTTACTAAAATGTATTATTTTAAAGAATACCCTTGTAGAGGCAGAATATGCATATTCTTCTTAATATCAAAATGTATAACAATTAACGTTCTTAATTGTCAAAAAATTTTAATTTTTCTCATATATACTTTTTCTTTTTTTTTTAATAGAAATTATAAAAAGAGTCAGAACCCGTATATAAATATTTATTTATTACACAGATAGGTACATGAATGTCTCGACGTTCAACACAAGCTCATTATTATACTTAAAACTTTCACAGAATGCCCCACAAGAAATGTTTCACAACTTTGGGATATAATGTAAGCGTTACTACATCCGTTTTAGCTTTTGATGTATTTTTAATATTTTTATATCCTGCATTTGCATTACATATACATTTTGTAACATTTGTTAACCTATTTATACAAATTTTATTATTGCACAAAACTCTAATGAGGTTAAAAAAATTTGTTAAATTTTTGTCCGTAGCTGGTAGAATTGGTAGATAAGTGTACAAACGAAGAATATATAAATACATGACATATATTTGAGAAAAGTTGAGATCGCAATTAATATTAAGTACCAGTAAAAATTACAAGATGTAAATACAGGACCGTACAATTTATAACGGGCACAAATAAAATAAACGTTTTGATTTGCTATTGCATCAATTGTCCATTTAAATTTCAATGTTAACCTGAATGACACAATTTCAGGTTTTTTCAATTCAATTATAATTATAATCTTTCTTGCACGGTCTTGTCTAAGTAGATGATAATATTAATAATATAGGAATTATAATTTATCACAAAAATAGTCATTTATTTAGTGAGGACCCATAGTTTTGAATAAATTCAATATCTTTTCATCTAAAAATTTTGTAATGTAAACAAAAAGGATAGATACCGAAAAAATAAAGGAATATTAATAAAAATGTACCTTGTTAGTTTAGGGTTGCCAACATTGCAGCCATGCTGACAAGGAGAACACTTTTTTTTGAGGAATACACAAATAGCTATTTGTGTATTAAGAGTAGTGATACTTTGCCGCTTGAGGCAGAAAGTTTCCCGCGAGACGCGTAGCGGAGCGCGGCAATCTATCCAAAGCGGCAATGAACTTTTCTCTCAAAATGCACACAAGATTTTTTCTACGATTACAGTTTTTTAAGAATTAGATATAAAAACTGAAAATTTGTCGTGTATAATGTGTTGCCTATATCTACGTTTATTATGAAAAAAGCAGTTGATGTTAACTTGGATAATATAACAAATAAAACATGTATTACGTACATATGACTTGAAAATCATTTATTAAAAATAAATATTATATTATACCTAATTTAAATTAGGCAAGCAACAAACTTGTCATTTAATATCAGTTCGCGGCAGGGTTGCCAGCTTTTGAAATTCTATTTACAGTACCGCGCACTTCAAATTACCGTACATGGCCTCCCAATACCGTACACTTTTATTTTGCAAAAAAACTAGAAAAACTATGTTGTATAAATATCTTTTACTACGCCCTTGTCAGTAAACGTTAAAAATCGCACTGTCAACATTACTTGTAAATGACATTTAACAATAACATGCATATAATGAGATCTTATAACATACACATGCGTTTTGATAAGACAACTTAAATTTCTTGGTTTAATCAAATTGCAATCAAATTTTTGTTTACGTACGACTTTATTGGTCTATTTACATAAATGTAGTTAATTAAAAAATATAAAAACTTTTAATATTAGCGAGATACATTTTGGATTAAAAGAGCGATGCCCCTAAATGTTGGCAACACATCATACAATTTATCAAAAAGTATGTCGCGTTTTCTTAGCATGCTATTGAAATAAACGTCATGTCATTTATATTGTTAATTTTTGTAACAAAATATTGTTGTATTCGAACATTTTCTCAACTTTACCTATGAATATGTTTATTAATAGTGAAAGTGATGAAAAGCTCAAGCTGCCACACATAATTTGTTACCGCTAAAATCCAAAGCAAGGCATGAAATTACCTGTATTTATGGATTGGTGACACAAGCATAACGTTAAATCGTTTTCGGAAATGTTTTAAGTGGGCGTAGACAAAATATAGTACGTTACACGAGTTGTAAGCCCGTAATGGGTTACTTACAACTCGTAATATACTATTTAGTCGAGCTTCTAAAAAAAGGAGCTCTTCATATTTTAATTTTAATCAACGTCTGGCCCTTCTACCTAGCTTCTAAAAAAAGGCCTCAGCTTATATTTTTGTAAAAACCACGTCCTTTTAAAGAATAAGTGCTGTAAAAAGTAAAAAGATTAAACTGACATTTTTACTTTAGACAAATGTCAATATTTTTTTAGTAATTTAAACTTCGTTTAACCCAACAGTGGAATCGGTTCTTACACAACTCAAATTCTTTGCTAATTCTGATCAAAATACCGTACGTTTACCGTACTTTTTATGTAAATACCGTACTTTTATGTACGGTAATGACTTTGGACCGTATACCGTACATTTATCGAAATTACCGTACAAGTGCGGTAATTACCGTACGGTTGGCAACCCTGGTTCGCGGAGAACGTCAACTTTGCGGTTGGATTTCGAAGCACAAAAGCCTACTTTGGATAATTATCGTAGAAAAGGACCAAAGACATTACTAATGTCCGAATTGCCTAGTGTCACCCTCAAAATTGTTAGAGCTGAGTTTATTTCAGTTTCGCGGCGCCCCACAGTTGCTGACATTCCAAGATTCTTGTTCAAATTTCAAAAATCGTTGTCGCTGATTTTTCTTAGAAATTAAAAAATTACTGAAATTTTGGTTTTTTACTTAGTGGTTTGTTTATATATCTGATATATTATTTTAGTAGCGTTTCAATGGAGGAAGCTGTGGCATTTTTGGATTTTCTTGTGGAAAATAGCAGGTATATTGTGTTTTTATATCGAATTTGAGTTATAACATATGTGTGTGCTGTATTTCGATGATTAATTTCAGGTGTACATATTAATTTTTGTTCTCTTTCTATGTCATGCTTTATGGGGCCCTGAATTTTGAAAAAAAATTGAATTTATTCAAACCTATACGCTCTCACTGTATATCAAGAACATGAATTGATGTTTATGACCCAAGGACGTCCGATCTTAAGATTTAATTATCTCTCATGGGAATGACTCTAATAATTCAAGGGGGTTGTTACTACAAGCGACCTTTGATTTTGTTTACTAGGAACAGATGGCGACATCATTTTTAATACTTGAATTCATATTCTTTTCGTAACTATCATTAATGTATATTAGTAAATGTGTTGCCTTCGTTAATTCTATTAGAGACTAGAATTGAGAACCATCTATTTCTTGCTGAAGAGTCTTAATAATGAGGAAACCGGTCCAAGAATGACGTTCTACTTAGTGAGCAAAATCGAAGGTAGAGTGTTGAAATTTAATTTCTATCACTGCTGTTTTCCTTTGGATGTAATTCAATGCCTGTTGAGGTATTAGCTAAGGGTAGAGTAGTTGTTTTCCGAAGAGAAAAGGTCGCACCTATATTAGCTTCGTGAATTATTTTATTTATTTTACATACTAGTTTATTATTGCATTGATAATTTTAATTGATATTAGAAATTGCATTTTATTACGGAAGGTTTTGCCACAGTTTATAGCTCACTCTGCGTCGGCACTTTTGATCTCAATGTTCCAGTTTATACATTGCGCAACTCGAATTTGTATCCCTGACGCATACATAATCAAATCATAATAGCCCAAGAGCCCACTGCAAATTTTCACCCTCATCTGATAACGAAATGAAATATGCCATAAAAGTAAGTAAAAACATTGTACTTTACCAAATCCCAATCCTGTGGTTAAAAGAGGTTAACAAAATTCATTTTATATTAAAAAGATCACGTAAGGCATGACAGCACTAATATTGTTTGCCCTTAGAGTTTTCAAGAAAACATGTTCAAATCTATCTTGAAATATCGTTAAAGGGAACATTTTCTTCCTCTTAACATCGCACAAAAACATCTATCCACGATATTAGTGGGTAAAAATCATTAAAAATATGAATCAATTTTTGTTGAATAAAAAATTTATTTGTATGCCTATTGTTCTGATTCATTTTTACAGATTGCCATAAAAACGACAACAAACTGCTATATGATTATGGTTTAAAAGAATTGTCTAACAAGAGTTTATAATTATTATTTAATATTTCTGCAAATGGTTTATACAATGCCATCCTTCTTCCTTTCACACATACACATGGTTTAAAAGGTAGTGTTCCAAAATAAAGAATTTTGAAACATACAAAAGACGGTCCTGTGCTCACAAAAGCCAGGTGTTCATCTTCAACGATTATTTACAGGAGCATACGTGACCGAAGTCAGGTATCTCGCGCGCGAAACTGGTCGGAGTGACGTAATCATATGTACATCTCTTTCATAAAAACATAAAAAGCCGGCAGAGCGATTCGAGCTTCCTAACAGTAAGGATCGTCTCACCCATACACATAATGAAGAATTCTTTGAACAACGATTTTGTAAAGTCCTAGTACTTATGTAAGCAATAGTTAATAAAAAACAAAATGTAAATATGTACAGTTTTGTTGTGCAGCGTTTGTGCACAATAAAGTGTTTTAAGAAAATGTTGAGCTTTCATTGTCCATATGGAGATGGTTGCAGCCAGCGGCTTAAGGAGACAGTCCATTTTGGTAAGCGTGCCTTAGGGCCGTATTTAATATTTGTGGGGATTCAACCATTGGAAATCCTTAAGGTAGGTAAAAATATTAATAATTCAGGTTTAAAAGCTAGGTTCACAATGAATTGGGATTGTAATTTTCAAGGAAAACACAGTTGTCTCTGTCATGTCTTATGTGATTATATTTGTTTTTAACTCTTTGCTCAGGATAGGCATTGGCATAGGTGCAATTTGGTAAAATACAATGTTGTTACAGGTCTTTGGAACATATTTCATTTCGTTATCAGATGACGGTCGAAATTTGCAGTGGGCTCTTTTACTATAACCAATACAATATAACGTCCGCCTATATTCAAACAGCAGTCTTCTGCGCATCCTGAATTTGTATCCCTGGATTGGATGTTATTTTGGAACATTCAATTGATCCGAGTGAGCTAACTGATTCTTTAGCTATAAACTGTGGTATTACTGTTGATTTTTACTTAATCAGGTCAAAATTAGTCGTGAAAGGTCTAGAAAAACCGAATGAGCTAGGCGAGGATAATACAGATACTCTTACTTGGGTCCCGGGACATAATGTGGTAAAAGGCAACGAGATTGCAAGGAAAGGAACTCAAACATCATTTGTGGAATTGGGCAGTAGAAAAACCGATAATTGGAACAATCTCTTGGGGCTAAGACAGGCTACGCATTGTAATCGAGCATTGCCGACTCAAAGAACACCTTAGTAAACTGAGAGTAGTATAAAATAGGAGTGCAGATTCTGTAAGGAGGAGCATGAAATCTTCATTCGCATTCTGACTGAATGTGTAGCATTCCAGAATTCAAGGACACTATACTCAGGAGCATACCAAATAGAAGAGGGCGATCTACCTAACTTGAAGCCACTCGAAATCCTACAATTCGTTGAGAAGATAGAATTAGAAGGGTTGTAATAGGGATCGAGACTATTTCCTCGATGCATTAGCGACATAAAGGGACACAAGAGATCTTTTAACTTGTAGTACATTATTAACCCATACCCATACCTACTGTTAATATTGTTGATACTGTTGATAGGGAAATGTTATTTAGTTATTTATTGTTGACCTTAACCAGGAGAAATAGTAGATGATGCGTCAAAGTATGCAAGCCATGATTTGCGGGTTATACCGCCAACTCCTCTGTCCATGCTGAAGTAAAAGGATTGATAACTCTATTTCCGAAGGATATTTAGAGAAAAGTAAATAAAATAACAGTTAAATGATAAATGATATAAGGCTAACGTGCAGAAAACGAAATAGGGATTAGAGAGATAGATCATGAAGACGAAGCATGTCGAAGAACAAATAGATCGATTTAAAAGGAACTTTGCGGGAAACAGCATCATACAGGCATATGTAACAGTTCGAACAAACACTTGATATTCTGGAGATGACATAAAAGGAAGAGGAAGACCCTGAATAGGCAATAATATTATAAACAGCATGGATTGAAGAGAGAGAAACATAGAAGAGGAATAGATAAGATGAACAAGGACGTTGTTGGCTGAAATACCTTCTGGATCTGGCATTTCCTTACAAAAATGTAATGAATTTTAAATTAACATTTTTTTACTGCAGTTAATGTTTACTATTACTAGATTCTTTCAGAATTATCATTTTAATATTGATTTGACTAAATAATACCAATTAACATAATCATTTTTTTAATACTTTTCTAGGTTATTGATAAAGCTGAATAAATAGATGAATCTTAAATTATTATGCTACCAACAAATAACAATTTCTGTAAACCCTCAATAAATTATTAACAATGATTAACTAGTATGAAATAAAATTAATAGTGTATTTAAATAATACATAAAATAATTAAGAATGTGTTCCTGAGGTAAAAATATTTGTTTATTGACGTAATACCGGGTGGCCATTCATATTTTGTCACATGGTACATTAAAGTTCAGTCTTGAGATTATTTTTATTTTCTTTTATATTATAGTATATTGGATCATACTATTTCTCGACAACTCTGTAGAAAACCAACAAAAAAATAAATATTTAATTTAAAATAAATTATCTAATTAAAGATACATGAAAATTATAGCTAGCAGATAAGTTTCATAAACAAGACAAAATATTGTAATGAAATATTTTATTAAATTTGTGAAGGATGACACAATTTTTTTCGAAACACAATAAAAAAATGTAATTACTAAAAGTAACGGTACTGTATAATGTGGTAAAATATAAAAGAAAAGAGTAATTGTAGACCAAACCAATTTAATAAAATTGAATTGTTTTGGAGATACAATAATCAACTAAAATATGTCAATATAAAGTTGGACACCCTGCATATACCGTTCAAAACGTCCATTATATCTCATGCTATTATAGCATTTTTAAAGTATGGTGACTATTTCTTTAAAAAATACACCATTCTTATTTTTCAGATCACTGATAAGCACAAAAAGTCAGTTTAGATACTTTAGGCAAGAAATACATTTGTGCCAAAACAAATAATTTATTTTGTATATTCTAATCCACCAAGAAAATAGCACGTAAAGGTATCTGTATGTTTCGCATAGATACTTTTAAATGAAATACCTATTATTGAATGAAAAATATTGTATGTAGACCAGTAGGTACATTCGAACCACCCAAACTTCCTTCTGTTTTGCTCTAAAAAGGGAATTAAAAAAAAATTGGATTTCAAAAAATTTAAAGTATACCTATGGTAAAAATTTTAAAATACCAATTCTTTAGAAAATATTTTTTTTACAAAATTTGATAAAAAACAACGATTCTCAATTTTACAGATTTTTTTTTTGTAACAATGCCAGCGGGCTATATATTTTTCAATCTTCCTCGTATACGATAAAAAATATCTAAAAATTTATTCAAAATTATTTTTCGTTTCTTTTACCAACTTTTTATTAAAAATCATATTTTCTGGAAAATAGATATAAAAACATATTTTCTACGATCACTATTGTAAATACGCTTTTAAGATAAGTTTACTATGTTACATAAAAGTCAGAACACTCAGTATTTATGAATGAATATAAAAAGGTTTTAGATAGGGTAACAAGGTTATCAATATCTCAAACATTAACTTTTAAATTGTTTAATCTTACTTTCATCATAAGAAGGTTTTTTTACCATGTGTTTTTTAAATACCAATGAAGTTCCAAATAAACTTTTATTGCTGTTTTTGTTAACAAATTATTTTGCCTGATGATGGTAAAATTTGACCGAAACTAGTTGCCCTTGAAATTTAAATTTTGAGTTTTATTTTAATTTCTTAGATGATAAAATTGATGGTAATCGTTGGTATTATTGCAAAGATTAAAAAGCCTCTAAATAACTGAATTATAGCATCAAGAAATCATTCTGTGCCAGATGGGATAAATTTTATTTAATATTCCCGATTTCAATGAAGAGACTAAATAGAGAAGTATACGGAACAATCACTCAAAAGATTTAAGGTACTATTTCAACAATTTAAGTATTTTTATATATTTATCGTGATCGTAGAAAAAGTATAGTACCTACAACACTCGAGGGTTTAGCATTCGACGCTACATGCATCTTTTGAAATTTTTCCATCCGTGCGCAATATATTTACCATTCTTGTTATGTTATACTGTAACATAAAGTTTTTGAAACCCCACTATAATATTCAGTTTTGATTTTTTTGAAAGGAAGTTGACGATTTTGGCACCCTTCAGCCTCAAATTAAATCGCTATATATTTTTGTTCCGATTTTTCAACACCGACGCACGAACACTTTGGATCTAATATTGAAAGTTTTAATATTTTTTAAATTCTAATCCCAGGTGGGAAAAGCATAAATTTCATTTGGTATCAATTTCTATTATTACTTTTTCCAAATTTCCATTGCAAGGTCTCAACATGAAATAACTGAATAATATTATTAGACCAATACTTCAATCTTTTATTTTTTTATTTTTTTCTATACCAATTTATTATTATAAAACAACGATAGAAACAAAAGCAAAATTCATTCTCTTTATAAAAAAAATGGCATTTACTTTTGAATCAATCTACACAGACTTTTTATAGATATTCAATATTTAAAAATATCATACTTGACAAAGTTATCTCCTGTTTCTAACTGTTAAATTTTTAAACCTTTTTATCAATATTTCATCTTAAAACATTGCAATTAAAATTATTTCCTCTCTCAATCCCATCGATTATATATATATCTTCTTCAGTTCCATCTTCTCCTCAAGTTTTTTCCATCTGGGAAAATTCTTCTAGTTCAACATTTATATATTCAAATTATTAAAAATATGACAGCCTTTAAAAGCATCTAGTGGATAAATTCTAGTACAAATTACGTCTGTTTGCCGCCGTTCTTCTGACCTCCCCTGTATTTCCTGTTTTCGCCGTTGTAGTGGTTGTTATTCGAGCCTCTTCTACTTTGATAGTGCCCATCGTTGCCTTGAAGGCTTGGTAAGCCTACGCTATTTTCACCTTGTGAGGATCTTTCGTGGTTTCGGCCACCTTGAAACAAAATTTAATTCATTTAAAAAATAAAATTAAGTTAGAATGAAGATATATAATGCTTGGTATTCTATATGTTACTCTTCACAGTTAAACATTTAACCCCCTCATTTTTAATCAGATTTTTTTTACAATCATTAGGCCTTATCTTCTTATAGAGCTTGATTTTTCCTATAAATTTCAAGTTGATATTGATTACTGTTTTTGAATAATATTTTTTTTTAAATTTTGACCGCCCTTAATTCCCCATTTTTAGTCAATTTTTTAAAAATCAATGGGCTTCCACTTGCAGAGCTTGATTTTTCTTGAACATTTCAAGTTGATATTGTTTTTCGTTTTTGATTTATATACATTTTTTTAATATTAACCTTAACCCCCCCATTTTCTTTCATTTTTTTTTAAATGAATAGGCTTCATTCCATTGAACAGCTTGATTTTTCCTGAAAATTTCAAGTTGATATTGTTTTTAATTTTTATTTTATGATTTCTTTTAAGTTTCAATCCCCTCTTAACCCCTCCATTATTAATCAGATTTTTTTTCAAAATCAATAGGCTTCGTATCCTTATAGGGACTGATATGTCCTAAGAATTTCAAGTTAATATTGTTTTTTGTTTTTAATTTGTGGCTGCAAATCTCAAATGTTCCACAGCATGCCAAAATTGCCAGGGGTACTGCCTGAATGGGGTCCCTCAAATTGACTCCAAAGATGAAGAAGAACAGGGGGATTCTCTGACCGTTTCCCAACAGGGGTCCGATGCAAAGATATTGGAGACAAAGAAGATGAAAAAGAAGACGAGGATGAAGGTTCTTTCCATCCTAAGAGAGCAAGATATTCCTGAATTAAGTGTGAGGAACCCGGCCAGAGGGCCCCCAACTATATTCTAAAATGAGTATTTGTGCTATTTAGACGTCCAGTACTCACTATAAGTACATAATGGTGCATATTTCGGCCAATACGTTGAATGGGAATGGTGAGAAATTGAAAGTTGTCGCACAACTTCAGATTTCACGCTCATTTTTGAAATTGCCTTAACATTTAAAGGAAAATAGTAAAGTAATATATATTATTAAAGGAAATTTTATTCTCTGCAACCCTATGATCGGCATTTATTTTTTGGGTGCATCGTTGAATAGTTATCCGGTCAAACAAAACAAAATATGCGAGGCAAAAATGTTTTTTCCAAAATTACAGACTATTAAGAGCTGATATATCTATCTATACAAGATATCGAAAAACTTGACTAATTAAAACTTGTAGCAAATTTAATAAGCTTTCATGACAAAAGCCATGCATGACAACAAACTCCCGCGTGAAAAACAAACGGCTAACGAGTTTAGGTGACATAATCATATATGTCCATCTCTCTCTTTAAAACAATACAAATCCGCAGAGCGGTTAACGCCTTCATCAAGAAAAGATCGTCTCTCACCGGCATATGAAGACTAGAGATACGGAGACGAATCGGCATACTCAAAATACGGTCCCAAAAACGCATGCTAATTGAGCTTCTATAATTAACCGCATGGACGCTGGTACTGCATACGCTGCTCAAAATACATGGCTTCTTAATAAGAATTATACATAATTTTGTCAAAATATTAAAAATAAACTTGTTTATAGCCAGATAAAGCACAGATCATACTGTTGTATTTATTTCTAAATAAGTCTTGCATATTTTAATTGATAAATTATTTAATTTTATCTATATAAAATACAAATTAGGTAAGTATGACCAAATTCGAAAAGGTTTCTTAAATGCTGAAATTTGATAAGTACAATTTTGTGGCAAATTTTTTTTTAAATTGAACTAATATATAGTTTTAAGAGTAAAATAAAATACAGTGAACAGATTTTTTATTGTTGTAATACAAGTATAAAGGTAGATTTGGGAATGCACATGGTATTACCTCATCATTTAATTTTAGCTTTTCCCTTTTTATTTTGCTAACAGTACCATCAGTAAAAATAGTCTCATAATATTTGATAATATCTTCTAAAAAATATAGAACAGCATCATCTCTAGAAAGTGCTTTATCGGCAGGAGAAACGATATATATGCTGCCACTGTTCTAAACGTTTAGTATCCTATAAAAAACATTTACAATGACACAATTGGGGTCCAATAAAAAAAATAACAGTAGCAACTCTTTATCTAACATTAAAACTATAAAAAATAAATTTTCTTTTCTAGTAAGTTAAATTTAATACATAATTATTGTAAGTCAGCAGAAACTTGTAATAAAATAAACTACACTTCGTAAGATACATATTGTGACTAGTTTACATTAAATATATTTAGACATGAATACATTATTTTACTTACATTAGAAGATTTAAAAAGACATTGAATTGATTTCTTCTTTAGTTCTACATTTGATTTTTATCCTGTTTTACAATCTGAAATGACGTAAATCTTGCTTTGATATTTTTTGTCACTCATGTTACTTGTACTCAGGTACTTTTTTCACATTATTTTGATTTTTTTCACCAATTTTTTAAAAAATTACTTCATTTTACATTGACTTACATAGAAAATTGACTACGCTGTCATTAGACATGCCAACTACAGTTAATTTCGCGAACTTTGTAAAAAGAAGGACGGAAATTTGAAATTTGACCATTGCCGATTCGCCTCCTTCTCTCTAGTCTTCATACACCAGCATCATGACAATTCGTTATATAAAAATCATATCCAGTTCTCTGAGCAAAGATGCAGTATTAAATAGCGTCGTTGTCGCGGTGAAACCTCCTATGTACATTTTATCAAAATTTTCAGTAGATATAAAAACGTAACAATTTTGTTCTGATGCCTTATAAGTATTACGCCCAAGGGAGGTCTAAAATCACAATATTTTAAAAGAAAATTACATGAGAGGTTTCGCTAAACTGTACAGAATGTTAGTTTCTATGGAAATTTCACCGCGGCAACAACGAATGTAGGTAGTAGTTAAGTGAAGGGATATAAATATGTACAAAGTTGAAAGTTTTTCGTGCAACGTTTGTGCACAATGAATTGTTTTACAACATGTTAAATTTTCATTGTCCACATGGAGATGGTTGCAGCTAGTGTTGTGAATATCCGTATCTTTTTGGTATTCGGATAATACGTATTCGGAACCAAGAGATATTCGGATTCATCATCCGGATACGTATCCATATTCCGTGTGTGAAATCATAATAATACGCAACCGTAAATACTCCGCGACCTTGGGAATCGGAACCGGGCAGTGTTGTCAACCCTAGCAGAATGTATGTTTGAGAGTGAAGTAATAGGAGCTTTTAATGTTTTAGAATAATAAACACAAGACAAATTTCAAATATTTTGTTTTTTATCATATCAGAAACAAAATTTCTCATTAACTGAATATTATTTATATAACTTCATGTTAACTTTAAAATATGCAGTGCATACCGACTAACCGATTATGAATTGCAACAACGCTAGACGATTCCGAATCCGAATTCCGATTTCGTATCGGCTGCCACCCGCAAAACCCGCAATCGACTCTGTCTCTGTCATAACACAGAACATGCAGCATTCGATTCGTGTAGTACGATTTTGTTTGTCCTTTTTGATGCCGAATTCGTATTCGAATTTACACTATTGATTCCGGAATATCCGGATTCTTTTAATATTCGAATTCAACGGATTTTCGGATACGTATTCTTACATCACTAGTTGCAGCTAGCACCGACAGGAGACAGTCCATTTTGGTAAACACGCCTTAGGGCCGTTCTTATAATTTGTGTTGGATTCAACTGTTAGCAATCCTTCAAGTATTAACAAATCGAGGAAAGAACTCAGTCCCCTACAATAAGTATTCATTCTCAAGAAATACTATTTTACCTTGCCAATAACTTTGAGAGTGCAAAGGAGGGAACCAGTTTCCCCTATAATGCCCATTATTTCCTCTATACCGTCCACCATTTCCTCGTCCAGAATGCTGTCCTTGTTGTCCATGTTGACCATTCCTCGGCGAAGAAAACCCATTCTCCCCGTTTCTCTGATGCTGCGAATACGCAACTTCGCGCGGAGAACATTGTCCAGCCGAATTTTCTCGTCTTAAGTCGGAATTCTCTCTGCGAAGTCTTCGTATGATTGTTTCTGCATCGTCTAGTTTGCGCAACAGCTCCGGATCAGGTTGACCTGCGCGTTCTCGTTCTTTTTCGCGATCACGTTCGTATCGTTCCAGTTTTCTGGGAACAAAAAATAAATTTATGATTAAATAAAAAATGGTATGAAGCTGAAATTAATAGAAGTATTTTATTCCACTCTTGTTATCGTTAGGGCCTTCACCGACAATAAAACGCAGTTTAAGAGCGTGGTTCCGCACGCTCTTAAATGCACTCCTCTTGATTTTAAAAAATGTATGCTGCCTGTTTCACTTTATATCATGACACACATGTCACATAAAAACATCTCTTGGACATTTTTTATAGCACAGGACTTTATTTACATTTTTTGTAAATTACAACACTAGCCCCACGTTGGGCGCTATGTTATAATTAGGGTCAATCAAGCTATATAAGCGGACGAAGCCTATTGATTTTGAAAAATATCTGAACAAAAATAGAGGGGTTAAGGGGGTATAAAGAGTAAAAAAATCCTAACTCAAAAACTAATTATGATATCAATTTGAAAATTTCATGAAAAATAAAGCTATATAAGAGGTCAAAGCATATTAATTTTGAAAAAAAATAGAACAAAATTAGGGGGGTTAAGGGGGTAGAAATAGTAACAAAAATCCTAACTCAAAAACTAAAAATGATATTAACTTGAAATTTTTAGCAAAAATCAAGCTCTATAAGGGGACAAAGTCTATTGATTTTGAACAAAATCTAATTAAAAATGGGGGGGTTAAGGGGGTTGAAATAAAAAAAAATAAAAATCAAAAACGAAAAGTGATATTACTATTTGTAAATAGTTTATTTGCTATATATTTGCTATATATAGGGGATGCCAATATCGTGCCCGAGGTGTTATTATTTTTTTTTTCTAAATATATTTTGCGTTTCTTTCCTTTTACTACCGGCTCTTAACCGTTTTATTTCAGGGTACCGTAGGGTACGAGGTGTAAGGGAGATCAGTGTCTTTAATTATAATTTAATGGCTACCTCGTTAGCAGTGACCGCCTGGAGGTACTCTTAACTCCACTGAGTTTATCTTGAGTACACTCTGGTATACTACAGGGTCGCAGAGCAAACTGTGTTACCAAAACTGGCACCCAAGCAGCCCTTATTCTGCATTTACCACCTTAGCGCCATACAGACTTCCTACTTCACACTAGGTGAAGTTTGAAGCCTGTTATAAAACGAGTGCAGTAATTTAATTTGCAGAACGTAGTACAGGTTCAAGAGGTAGACATTTTATTTATACCTCATCATTTAATGCTTATGTAGAATTAAAATGAAAATTTTAATACATCCGATCGACCTAATAAAAATTTTCTTTTAGATTTAATCATGTTTTCATGGTTTTTACTGTAATAAACCTTTTCTTTCGAGAGATAAGTCAGACTTTATTTATTCATAGCCGTAGCGTATGATTCGGAATTTTGTATTAGCATAAATTATAATTTTATAGTTATATAAGAATGACGAGTGCATTGGAAAATATTGCTAACACAAGTACGCGTAAACGATCTAGTGAACATAAAGCGTTATCTTAAGAAGAAAAAATATCGTACTTAATGTATTTAATAATCTTTGAGAAGACTTTGTTTCACTTTCTGTGGATGAAATAGCCACTAAATTTGAGATCTATACTGGAATATCTAAGCGGACAGTGTATAACATTATTGAAGAAGATATAGTTATTGAAGAAGTCTCACATCCGAAAAAACCCCCGGAAGAAACAAGACCATTATTGAAATAAAATTCCTACACTAAGTAATCGAAAATAGCCCAACTCTTTCAAATATATAGCATATTTTCGTCCGCAAAAAATATATGAATTAAGTTTTTGTTACAAAAAACGTGAAAGAAACAGCTTTTTACACAGTAAAAAACGAAATCACTGCGTAAAGACATATTTATTTAAGCAAAATAGCGGACACAAGGAATAAGCATAAACAGGTATTTTATTTAAATGAAACATGGATTAATGCTGGACATAAAGCAACAAAAATTTATCAAGATACTTCATCAAAACTAAAAAACAAGCCGTTATGAAAGGGGTCTCTTGTGGATTAAAAAATCCAACAGGAAAAGGAAATCGTTTAATAATAACCCACATTGGGTTTTTGTCAGATGGTTTATTAATGTTCGATTAAAAAAAACCAAAAGACTACCATGAAGAAATTAATAAAATTAAGATTATTTTATTGTTTGTGATCATTTTAAAAAATGTGTTTAATTGAGAACTGCAACTTTAATAAATTGGAAGGATGTATGTCAATTTAACGATTAATCCCGAAAAAGGCAAGGTAAATAAAAACTTTTTAAGGTTATGTTGTTTACCTATAATAAAGTTTTATGACTGTAATTTGTTTTATATTTTGTTTCAGTGCCTAAGACCATCCAAAGACTAATTCAAAATGGTCTATTTTGTACCCAATTGTAAATACTATGAAATAAGAAGTATGCAAAAAATTTGTAAATTTTTTTCCCACAATACCCGCTAAAAGTAAAAATTTTATTATTCTGATGAAGTAACTACTTGACATCATTATGAAAATTAAAATTTGATAAGAAATGGTTTTTCACTTTAAAAGTCTGAATCGGAAAAATGGATTAACCACTTAATTTAATATATTTGATGAGAAATTTTACCTAAGAAATGGTATGTACATTTAAATAGTTTACCTATATAAAGTTATGTTTGCTTGTAATTATCAATCGTGTTACCCCCTAATCAAGATCGTTTGTTGCATACAAACCAGAAATCTTGTATTTTAATGACATTTATTTATTGCATTGTTTGTATTTCAAAAATATTAGATGTTATGGTAATTTGAATCACTACAGGTATTAAATAAAAATAAGGCTATTGGTAAATTAGTTTACAGTTGGTAATAAAGAATGTCTCGAAAAAAGTCTCGAAGTAAGTATCAAACATAAATTGTGATTTTGATTAGGCACTTAACAAGTCACATCCCACATATCTACATGCTCTGGCTAATCAATTCTATAAGTACATATCAAAACATTAATATACTATCTACAATTAAACAATAATTTGAAAATACAGATGAAGCCGATTTACCTATTTAAACAAAAACAAGTTGAATATTATTGTTGACCTTTTTAAATCGTTTATTTTACCTCATACATTTTTTTTTCTACTCTTTATACAGTATTCTGTGAAGAGTATTATAGGTTTACTTTGTCTATCTGTCCGATGTCACGTTTTTTTGTCTGCACAATAAGTCAAAAACGAGAAATGATAACTTGAAAATTTTAAGCAAAAATTAAGCTCTATAAGGGGACCAAAGCCTATTCATTTTTATCAAATCTGATTAAAAATAGGCGGTTAAGATGGGTTGAAATAAAAAAAAAATGCTAAATTAAAAACGAAAAGCGATAACAACATGAAATTTTTAGTAAAAATTAAGCTTTATAAGAAGATAAAGCCTATTCATACTGAAAAAAATATGAATATATTGGGGAGTTAAGAAGGGTTAAAATATAATAAAAAAATCCTAACTGAAAAACGAAAAATGATATAAACTTAAAATTTTTAGCAAACATCAATCTCTAAAAGGAGAAGAAGCCCTTTAATTATAAAAAAAAAATCTGATTAAATATAAGGAATTTAAGGGGGGTTGAAATTAAAACAAAAAAAAATCGAAAATAAAAAGCGATATCAACATGAAATTTTTAGTAAAAATCAAGCTCTATAAGGAGTTGAGGTCTATTGATTGTGAAAACAATCTGTTTGAAAATGGGGGTTAAGGGGCTCTGTTAAACTGCGAAGAGTATCATTTAGAATGCCAGGCATTATATATCTTTATTCTAGTTTGTGTCTGTATAATATTATGTATTGTGATGGGACTGATCTTATAAAATAAACATTTAAAACATTTTAGTTCCTATTTTATTTGCCAATAAAAGGTATTTAAAAAATAATATTTTTTATTTAACATATGTGACAAATTGTGAAAATGATTAAACTTACAATAAATACTAAAAAATGGTAGGCAAAGTTTCATATAAAATTTTTTACACAAAAATCAATACATAACCTGATATATATTTAAAAATAATCTCAAATGATGAAGAAAAGTCAGTTTACTAACTAATAATGTTTTCAACGTATTAAATACAAAACAAATATTACCCTAACTAAAATATTAATTTATTAATAGTTGTATTGCTTGAAAACAGTATGATGTTGACAATAATAACTACACTTAATACAACGTTAAATAATAAAAAAAACAGCGATATTGACTATTGTACAAAGTTTTGATCCGAACTTACAAATGATAAAATTATTGGAAAAAATGAACACCCATTTTAAATTGCCACGAGCCACCACTGGCTTCATTCTACAAATATTATCAGTCCCTCTAAATCCTTGAAAGCAGAATTATTCGTAATAGCAAGGCAACATAAAAACAAATTAAAAAAATATATTATAGATGAGATAGCCCGAGAAAAATTCTCAGATTGCCTCCTTACCTCGCAGAGTTAAATCCCATAGAACTGATCTGGTCACCATTAAAAGGTTATATTTCTCGAAACAATACAATATTTAAATTACTTGATGTGCGAAATTATTTGTAATGAAAGTGGAGAATATTGGAGAAAATGCATTTATCATGTAAAAAAGATGTAAAATTAATTTTGGAAAGTGAATATAGCAATGGAAAACTTAATATAGACCCTATTAAATCTCACAAAAGACCATTATAATGATACCGGTAGTTATAGTAAAGACAGTTACTTTTAAAGATAGTTCTTACACTTTTTATTTTTTTTTAATCTTTGATTTTAGGTACTGGAGTGTTACTTTTAATGCCAAGAGATTAAAAAAAGTTTTTTTTTCTATCCTAACATTCAACATCACGCCTACGTGGACGTCACTGGTGGAAGTAGAAAATTAATTTTTGCTCCAAAAAGTGATTCCACGCATGGTGGGTGCCTACCAAATTTCAACAAAATATCAAAAGCAGTTTCAATGAACTTTGTTTGGTCTTTATTTTTTTACACGAAAACGGTGCCTCGTATAAAAATGAGTCTATTGACCAAATTTG